AAATCATCCTCATAACAACATCATAGGTGCATCATCATTCATCATATTCATCATCATCAAATGTCATAGCTCATCATCATAATCATCATCATACGTCATGTCATCATAGCTCATCATAATAATCATCATCATACATCATGTCATCATATAATCATAATAATCATCATCATACATCATAGAAATCATCATATAATCACATACAAATCACATAGCGCTCACAGTCATACTCATATTAATTCATCATATTATCACATATTGTCACATATTAATTCATAATTATACTCGCGATAATTCTCATACTATCGCCTGTTAATCACATAAACTTCACATTCCTACTCATGTTAATTCATCATATTATCACATATTATCACAGTTACCCTCATGGTAATTCATCAGGAAAATTGGAGCATCAAAACATCAAGACATCACTGAACCAGAACATGATTCATTAATAGAACATATATACAATTTACTTCTCAAACATTATTAGATATAAATATATTAGGAAACCAATTCCCTTATCTATACTATGTTATAGCCCTATTCATTAGCTTTCCAACGCTTCGAACGGGAGGCAAAACAGACTTACGGATCAAAAGTTACGTCCAAAACGATTTCGACCGAAAACATGAACAGTCGTGACGGAAGGCAAAACACTGCTATGCTCCAGAACCTAAATCAACCCAAAAGTCCACACAATTCACTTCACCAATACCACCAAAACATCTCTAAATCATCCCTAAGGTCTTACGGTAACAAAGGCACAAAACCTACGGTTTACTAGGCAAATCCCGTAACATATTCACGCCCTAAATCACAATTTTTTCTTCAATTACACCCTAAGGCATCAGAGTTACTCACTATCAAATTTCACTACAGGGTTAGAGTCAAATCATAGTTTTTGGCCATGAAGGCCTAATTTTCCTTTTTCCCAAATAAATCCCTACGGTTAAAATTCTCAATAATCGATTTTAGGCCACGAAGCCCAAAAATCCCTTTTTCTCATTATTCGCCTCAAAACTCTTAAACCCTTAAATCAACCTTAAATACACTGAAAGTCATACATGGAAAATTATGAAAGGCTATACTCCCCATACCTTAGTTATCGATCAAAGCCTTCTCAATATTTCAAGGAATCTCTCGAAGCTTCTGCCTCCAATCGTCTCCTCAGAGCTCTGGCCTCAATACTTTTCACGGTTAACAAAATGAATCATAATTTCCTTCAGAATTCCTTTTTGTCAAACCTAGTCTTGGGCCACACAATTGGGCTTTTCCCATAACATCCTTACTAACTCTTCTTAATGCCCAAATTACCCTTATTTCACTTATATTTATTTTAACTAATAATAATACTAATATTTCCATATTGTATACTATTAATTAAATCAATAATTCAAAAATGCATAATTCCCAATAATCCACAAAACCACCGAAAACCACCAAAATACAAACATTCTCAATTAAATAAATAAATTAAAATATTCCAATTAAATTTGGGGTGTTACAACTCTCCCTTACTTAAAAGAATTTTCGCCCTTAAAAATCACCTCAAGGAAACAGATTCTGATACGACTCCCTCATCTGATCCTCACGCCCCCAAGTCCAACTTTCTCCAGCTGGTCCTCCCAAAACTACCTTTACCAAGGCAATATCTTTACCTCAAAGTTGCTTCTCGTTCATCAATCTGAACTAGCAATGCCTCAACAGTCAAATCATCTCTCACTTTTACATCATCCATCTGAATCACATGCGACAGATTTGGAATGTACTTTCTCAACGGAGACACATGAAACACATCATGCAAATTCACAAGCGACAATGGTAGGACAGTCTAACATGCTACTTCTCCCATGCTTCCGCTGCGCCACTCTGATAGAGACCAACAAAACACGGTGTAAGCTTCCAAGACTTCAAAGCTCGACCAACACCAGTTACTGGCGTAACTCTCAAAACACACGATCTCCCCCTTGAAATTCAAGTGTTTTCCTCCTCTTATCATGGTAACTTTTCTAAAGACCATGCGAAACATCCATCTTTTCTTGGATCCTCTTGATCTTCTTAGTCATCTCTTTCACAATCTCAGGTCCGAGCATAACACTCTCGCCTGACTCATACCAACACAAAAGAGTCATACACCTCCTACCATACTAGCTGCAACACACAAGTTTTCACACCAAAACAGACCCGACACAAGATACACAAAGGAAATCTACTACAACAATCCAAGCCTTCAAAACTAGCTTCAAACTAAGCCAAAGCAATATGCCATCCATCACATCACAAGCCTTTTACACAAACTTTCACTGCTGCAATTGCATCCAAGTCACAAGCTCCTAAAAGCTAATACAACAAGCCAACCTACAATCGACAAAATATGTACAAGCTGCAAACAAAAATATGAAAAAGAGAGAGTCTAGAGTCGTCTATTCTCTCTTCCGGTTGTTTGGATACAAGGAGCCTTCCTTGGTCATCCAAGGGATCATCATCCAAACAAAAAATTCAACATATTAACTAAACTTCTCACCGCCTTGCGATCAAAATTTTTTCTCAAAATAACGATGTTTAGTCCTTTCTAATGCGTACACAAACTAAATGCTTAAGCCTCCATCGAGAGTAGACAAACTAAAGTTTAACCCTTAGAATACGAACTAAAGATTTGTTCGATAAAATGAACCAACAACCCGTAGTCCCATGAACTATGGATGCTATAATTCTTCATTTCTTTTAAATGAAGACATGTAGGCACAAGGGCCCTAATCCTTGGCGAGCACCCTAATAAAAAATCAACTATTTTCCCTTAGCAAACAAAACCCTTTTTGCATACCTTTCGCATTATTTTCTTAGAAGAAAACAAATAACATTAGCTAACATTCGATCACAAATTAAACTAAGAGGTTCCCGTTGAGTACAACAGACGTGTGGGGTGCTAATACCTTCCCTTTACATAATCGACTTCCGAACCTAGAATTTTGTTGTAATGACCATGTTTTTATCTTTAAAGGTTTTATCGATATTTTTCTGTTCCTTCATTGGAACGAATAAAGTTCAGTGGCGACTCTGTTCGAACAAATTTTTTTCCACATCCCATCGCGAATGATTATATTTTTCGAGGTACGATAGTACTAGATAGTATATTGATGCTCCTATTAGTGTATGGATTTAATTATATCTCATATAGAAGAATTCGATTACCTAGGTACTAATAGGGCAAACCTAGATGTTCTAAATCGAATATAGGTAAATCCTGTGTATCGAGTCAATGTGATGGTGCCAAGATGATATATGTGTGTACTGAGTGAATGATCACATATACAGTCGTTTAGGTACATAGGAAAATAAGGGACAAGCTATTGTACATCCTTATTCATTCTTACCTACCTAAGTCCCATATTTACGTTGAGTGGAAGTTGAGGTGAATCAATTATGCGAAGTATACTAAATCTTACCCTTAACTAGTTATGATTTATCTAACCTTATGTAAGGTCGTTGAACTATGCTCGGCGTTGAGCGGTTAGATAAATAGCGACTAGTGGCTATGTTATAACATTGAAGGACTCTTATTTTATAAGTTTTAGTATGAGATGCTAAGTATCCCTGATAGTCTTAGGACCTCATAGTGTCTTGAGAGTAATACTAGGGTTAAAAGTATATTTTGAGATGGTTAATTGGTACTATGCCTTAACTAGGTAGATGGGTAATGATACACTCGGTGGTTTGGATCAGGAAGTTCACTGAGATTAGTATGTCACCCCAACATTGTTGATTATATTTTCTAGTAAATAGGTTTTTAAATTGGTGTTGAAGTAAGGGATTTGGCACCGAAGACCCAATGGAGCGTATTTCTCATGTGATGAAAGCTTTATTTTATCGTCGATGTATTATTTCATCTCTTATATTATTGCAAAATTTTAATCTGGTCTACTTTCAGATGTTCACATTAATGTATCGATGTACTAATTATTAAATACTAATGTTTTCATTCTAGATATACGAGAGAGAGAGAGAGAGAGAGAGAGAGAGAGAGAGAGAGAGACTACTACAAAAATGTTTTTTGGCAGCGCAGAAAAGACAGCGCTTTTTGCAAAAGCACTGCTAAAGAGTCAGAAAAAAATAGCAGACTTTAGATAGCGTTTTTAGAAAAACCGCTGCTAAAGGTGGCAGTTATTGTTAACAGTAGAAAGCGCTTTATAAAAAAGCGCTGCTAAAAGTAGGCCCTACGAAAGCGCTTTTAGAAAGCGCTGCTATAGGGGTAACGTATGAGAGCGCTTTCAGAAAGCGCTACTAAAGGGGTAACCTACGAAAGTGCTTTCTAAACGTGCTGCTAAAGGTGTCAGTCTAAGAAAGCGCTGCTATAGGGGGTACAAAAGAAAGCGCTTTTATAAAAGCACTGCTATAGGTCCTGCCTTAGGCAGACCTTAGAGAGCGCTTTTATAAAGCACTGCTAAAGGCCATGCAAAAGCGCTGCTATAGGTTTAAGTAGCATAAATTTTAAAAAACCCAGAAAATTTCATAAACAGAAACAATCGTGGTTTTTGGCATTCTTCTATACTCGCGACCGAACCCTACTCACCATCGACCACTTCCGTCCATTGCCTCCGTCCAACCGCCTCCGTCCGTCACCATCCTCCGTATCCTTCCGTCGTGTTCTACATTGCCGCCTCCGTCCGTCCGTTTTGACCGTCTGTCTTCGTCCTCCACCTCCTCTATCACAAATTCTACAGGTTTGCTTCGAATCTCAAACTGTCCTCTGCCACGAATTCTTCTTCTTCTTCTAATGCGTAGTCTGTAGAATATATTCTTCTAATGCATAGTCAGTTATGAAACTATAAAGAAATCTTATAGTAGAAACAGAAACAACATTGCACACTACCTCCTAGTACAAAAGAGTTTCAAGAGGTGAGTTTTAGTTAGAAAAACAACGTATGGCCTAACTAAGTTAATTGGGTTCTCACACCATAATGATCCAAACACAGTAAATAAATATCACCCTAAATAGTTAACTAGCTATCTTGGTTCAATTCTTCAACCAAAGCAATAGGCAGTAGAATAAGACATTTGCTTTCAAGTAGCTGACTTGTTGCTGCTGAATGTTCTTCAACTAGTTTCCCCATTATCTCTTCAAGTGGCTCATTCAGCATTTGATCCTTTATATAATACCCATAACCCTATAATAAATAAATCAATCAATCAAACTCTACTGTTAATGAATTTGAGATTATATGCTATAAGAAGTTATTTTCTTGGACCTGAATTCAGAGTAGCATAATAATGTATTACTGATATCAAAGAAAGAAAGGAACCTCATGAAAAACTAATGGTATAGCATTTGAGTCACTTTGCAATTTACTTCCACTTAGTTCCTACAAAGGAACAATTTCCTTAACTGTTGTAGAATTTCAATTTGCAATTGATGAAAACATTAGGACTGAAAAAGTTACCTTTAGTTGATTCTGCAAGTATTTAACATAGTCGATGATGTCGTCCAATATGTAAGCTTGAGCTTGACTACCCTGCAAATTAAAACTCAGTTCATTATAAGTAAACATTGTGAAATTTAGTATGTGTAAATATATGCTTAAGTACTAGTATATTGAATTCATCAGAAAGAAGAACTTTTTGACATTGTTTCGACATATCTTAAATCATAAACAAGAGATTACCCCTTATGGATTTGGAAGCAATTCATGTAAGGCTTTGAGGTTTTCAGCGATACGTTGTCTGTGTTGCTATAATCAAATGTTGTTGTTGTTAGTGTTGATGCTAATCATGTTGATGTTGTTGATGAAAACAAATGAATTAATTTCGTATGTATGTTAATGTTATTATTGTTGATGAATTAATTTTGTCTGTTATAGGGGTTACCTATGAAGAGCAAGATTGTGATCGTTTCCAAGAATCCTACTGTGTAGTTCTAGAAGTTGGTGATTTCTCTACAGGTGCTACAAGTATTCGTTGTTTTTGTTTAGCTTTCTTAGTTTAGTTTAGCCTATTTAATAAGTATGGATAAAAAATGGATGTCTTCTAATCGATTATCAAAAGAGTACGAGAATTGGGTATCAAAATTCGTTAAGTTTGTTGTTGAACACGCCAAAGACCCCAGTAGGGTCACATGTCCTTGCTTAGGTTACTGTTATGGGCGTCAGATTGACGCAGTTCAGTTGGAATCTCATTTAATGAGACATGGAATTGATCGAAGTTATACATGTTGGACATTACATGGTGAGATAAGTAACGAGAATGTCGAACCGGGGGATAATACGACATATACTTCAAATGACAATGGCAGGGATACATATGATTGTGATCGAGTTGAAGAGATTGCAGAAGCACTTGAAGAAGATCTTCAAGATTGTACCAAGATGTTTGAGAGGTTGGTAAGAGATGTATAGAAACCGTTGTATAAAGGTTCCACTACTTTCACAAGATTGTCTATGGTATTAAAGTTGTACAACTTAAAGGCGGGTAATGGATGGTCGGATAAAAGTTTCACAGAGTTATTAGCCCTTATGAAAGAGATGCTTTTGGAGGATAATGTTCTTTCCAATCGAACCTATGAAGCTGAAAAAATGTTATGCTCTATTGGCATGAGCTATGATAAGATACATGCTTATCCAAATGATTGCATTTTGTTTCGAAATGAATATGCATCATTAAACGAGTGTCCTAAATGCGGTGTATCTCGGTATAAGATAAAGTTGTCACCAGTAAAAGTCTTATGGTATTTTCCTATAGTTCCGAGATTTAGACACATGTTTCATAGTGAAACAGATGCAAAACACTTGACTTGGCATGCAAATGATAGAATTATAGATGGGAAGTATTGACATCCGGCAGATTCACCATAGTGGATGAAAATTGATAATGAGTATCCTGATTTTGGAGAAGAAGCTAGAAACCTTCACTTGGCATTATCAATTGATGGAATGAATCTGCATGGTCTACAAAGTATCTCACATTCCACATGGCCTGTAATTATTATGATTTATAACCTACCTCCATGGCTATGTATGAAGCGTAAGTACATGATGTTATCTATGTTAATTTCTGGCCCTAAACAACTAGGGAATGACATAGACGTATACTTGACACCTTTAATCAAAGACTTAAAGAGTTTGTGGGAGAACGGTGTGGAGGTTTATGATGGATATAGGAAAGAAAGTTTCAATTTGTGGGCGATGTTGTTTGGCACAATTAATGATTTTATAGCATACAGAAATCTATCGGGGTATAGCATTAAAGGTCAATGTGCGTGTCCTATCTGTGAAGAAAACACAGATTGGACGCGATTGGAATTTGGTCAGAAGAATGTCTTTCTTGGTCATTGTAGATTCTTAAATTCTAATCATCACTACCGTGGTTGGAGAAAAGCATTCAATGGAAATTCAGAATAAGGTAGAGCTCCACCTACATTGACCGGCGAACAAATTTTTGAAAAGGTGAAAGATGTGAGTACTTTGTTTGGCAAGCCTTTTGCTCATACGCTTGTCACGCGTGGGTGGAAGAAGAAATCAATTTTGTTTGAGTTGCCGTATTGGAAGTCGTTGTATGTAAGCCATTTTCTTGATGTTATGCATATTGAAAAAATGTATTTGAAAGTGTTATTGGTACGTTACTAATTATACAAGGAAAGTCTAAGGATGACCTTAAATCAAGAAAGAACTTGGTAGCGATGGGAATAAGAAATGAATTAGGACCCTTGAAGAAAGGAAATCAAACATATCTACCAGCTGTTGCTTATACTTTATCTAGAAAGGAGAAAAAGATATTGTGTAAGTTTCTAAGTGAAGTTAAAGTTCCAGAAGGATACTCTTCAGATATTAGAAGACTTGTTTCTATGAAAGACCTCAAGTTAAAGAGTTTAAAGACACATGATTGCCATGTTATAATGGAACACTTTCTACCAATAAGTATACGTTCTATTTTTCCAGAAAAAGTGAGAAGCACGATAACTAAATTGTGTTTTTTCTTCAGGTCAATTTGTAGTAAGGTGATCAATCCTGCGATCTTACCAACATTGCAAAAAGAAATAGTTATTATTTTGTATGAGCTTGAAATGTATTTTCCTCCATCATTTTTTAACATAATGGTACATCTAGTTGTTCATCTTGTGAAAGAGACACAATTGTGTGGACCAACTTATATGAGATGGATGTACCCTATTGAACGTTATATGAAAATATAGAAAGGGTATGTGAAAAACCGAAGTCGACCAGAGGGTTGTATTGTTGAACGATACTTTGTTGAAGAAGCGATTGAGTTTTGTACTGAATATTTGTCCAATGTTTAATCCATTGGCCTCCCAAAATCTCATGTTGTTGAAAAAATAGTAGGAAAACAGTTAATTGGAAATAAAGTTGTGACAATTTCAAGGGGTGAACAGGAGCAAGTGCATTTGTATGTTCTGCACAATGACATTGAGGTTGAGCCGTATGTTGAAATGCACAAGGACATTCTCCGAGGTTTAAATATGAATAGAAATGAAAATTGGATAGTACGTGAGCACAATCGAAGTTTTATAACATGGTTCAAGGATCATATATTTTCAAAGTTTTATTCTGATTCCGCTTCAATAACATAAAGGTTGAGATGTTTAGCATATGGTCCAAGTTTGCATGTGTTTTCTTATAGCGCATATACAATTAATGGATACACATTTTATACCAAAGAACAAGATGATAAAAGTACAATGCAAAATAGTGGTGTCACCGTGCTTGCCGAAGCAATGTACATTTCAAGTGTGAAGGACTTAAACCCCAAATATGCAAATCTGTCGTATTTTGGGGTTATCGAGCGCATTTGGGTGTTTGATTATGAGAAGTTTCAGATTCCTATCTTTGGATGCAAGGGGGGTGAAAATAATAGTGGCATACGAATGGATATGTCAGGATTTTTGCAAGTAGATCTTAATAAGGTGGGGTACAAAGATGAGCCTTTTATTCTAGCCACGCAAGCTAAACAAGTGTTCTATGTCATTGATCCGACAAGTACGAAATGGTCTATAGTTCTTTTTTCCAACAAAGTAATCGATGATAACATTGGAGATCAGGGTGATGTTGATGTTGAGAAGGAATCTTATATTATAGATGATCCATATGAGAATATTAGAGCGGACGAATCATATATTAGAAATGATCATAACGAGGTAATTTGGATCAATCCACCCGTCCGTGTTGTTAAGAGACAAGTAAACCACGTTCCAACGAAGAAAAGAAAGAGATGTTAGTGACAAAGGTACTTGTAAAATTACATATTGTCTCATTCAATAAAATTACATATTATATCATTCAATAAAATTACACATTATGTCATTCAATAAAATTATATATATGTTTTTCTTATTTATAAATTTCTTATTTACATATTTGTCATTCATTTGATAATTTGGTTTTTCTGAATTACAGGTATTATGGCCACCAACGAGGAAAAATCACATGATGGAAACGAAACAGTACAAGACGTGGAAGGCGATATTACAAGAGGAATAACGATTATGAAAAAAATTATTTGTGCGAGAGATAAAGGTGTAAAGTATGATGTGCATTGGAATGAAAGAGATCAATTAATTGAGCCTAACAGTGCGGTACTGAGAAGTTACATTAGAGCACTTGTTCGTTCGCAAATTCCAATTACTTGCGATAATTGGAGAATTCCTTCGTTACAACCGGCTAAAGACAAAATTTGGAGCGAGATACAGGTATGATATTTGATATTTTTTAATTATGTTGACGGTTATGTCTTTAAATTAATTATGCTAACATACTATATGTATGTTTATTTGTTTACAGAGATCTTTTAATATTGATGATTGCAGGAGAAAATATTGTCTTCAATTGGCCGGAAAACGACTGAAAGGATTTAGAGCATTTTTAACGAACAAGTTTCTTAAAGATTCTGATGGAAACTTTGTCGAATCAGAGGGTCCAAAGAAGTATACTGATCTGATTTGAGATGAAGAATGGGAAACATTTGTTGCCAAGCGAAGAACCAAAAAATTCCATGTAAGTATAACTTATCATGAACAATGTATAATATATATACTTCTTCCACAATAGTTCTGATATGACTTAAACTTGTTTTTTCAGGTTGTGAGTAACGTAAATCGGCAACGGGCATCAAAACTCGCGTATCCATACAAAAAAGGGCGTTTGGGATATGCATGCTTACAACAAAAATAGTAAGTATATATAAATGCTTTAATATGATATAGTTACAAAAAAAAATAGTAAGTATATATAATGGGATATGAATGCTTTATTATCTGTCTTAATGTGTAGTTAGAAGAGGAGAAAAGTGATGCAACATCTCTTCCGGACCATATTTTGTGGAAGGCTGCCCGTGTGGGAAGAGATGGAGTCGTTCAGGAAGAAGTTCAACAAGTATTTGAATAATGTGTAAGTACAACATTAGTTTTGTCATAAACTCAAAAGTGTATAATATATTTATACATGCTTTTATCTATATTTCAGGACACTCTATCCCAGACTATAACTGCAGCTGAGGATGATGACTGCAGGAGCGTACTGAGTCGAGTGTTAAATATTCCTGA